CACACACACACACACCACAATAGAGTATTACTCGGCAATCAAAAAAGAATGAAATCTTGCCATTTGCAACTATGTGGATGGAACTGGAGGGTATTATGCTAAGTGAAATTAGTCAATCAGAGAAAGAAAAATCATATGATTTCACTCATATGAGGACTTTAAGAGACAAAACAGATGAACATAAGGGAAACAAAAATAATATAAAAAAACAGGGAGGGAGACAAAACAGAAGAGACTCATAAATATGGAGAACAAACTGAGGGTTACTGGAGGGGTTGTGGGAGGGGGCATGGGCTAAATGGGTAAGGGGCACTAAGGAATCTACTCCTGAAATCATTGTTGCACTATATACTAACTAATTTGGAGTAAATTTAAAACAAAAATTAAAATTTAAAATTTAAAAAAGTAAAAAATAAAGGTTCTAACACCTAAAAAAAAAAAAAAAGAATGATAAATGTCATTAGATTAATCCTTCCTGGGCATGAAAAGACTCAAGGCTTAGGGACATCTAGCTATGTGTTCTTTGTGGACCCTCTGAGAATCATAGGGAATATATGCTGTAAGATGATTCTGCACCAAAGGAAACCAATCTTTATATAATTAATGTAGTAAATGGTTGAGATCTTTAGTTCTGTAATGACATAGTACACCCATAGATAGCATGTTCCAACCACAGGGTCATGAGCTCCATAGGTACTTGTTTTTCACTGATGGGTTGTCAGTTCTCCTACCCCCATCTCTAACCCAACCTTAATAATGCATCATATCTTTCAGCAAGAAGTATCTAGCCGAATGCTATGAATAGGTAATATAGTATAATCAGAATCAGAGAATCTTAAATTCCAGGGAATAGATTCTCCAGAGGCCAAATTCTGTAGGATCTAAAAATTGAAAGAATTCTGGGTACACATGGATTATTGGCTTTTTGGTATCCCCACAGTTCTACAGTGTTTATTTCCCAATGTATCTTTCAGGTCTGCATTACAGAGTTTACACAAGGCTTGTGAGGTGGCCAGAATGCATAACTACTATCCAGGTAGTCTGTTTCTCACCTGGGTGAGTTATTACGAGAGCCATATCAACTCAGATCAGTCATCAGTCAATGAATGGAATGCTATGCAGGATGTGCAGTCCCACCGGCCCGACTCTCCAGCTCTCTTCACAGACATGTAAGTCAGTTTACTTAGGATCACGGAATTTTTCTGTACTGCGTCCAAAGTGTCGTAAGCAACATGTTCCTCCCTAATCTCTCCTCTTGGAGAATTAATCTTACCAGTGATATTAGTCATTGTCTACACTACACATCTGCCATACAAAGAACCCTGTTCTTTCCGTCTGCAAAGGCTTTAGGAGTTTCACTCCTGGGCACACTGGAATCTCCATAGTAAAAAACTGCAATACCATAAAATCCCATTGAGATTCCACTAATTTGAAATTTGAATTTAAAGGGAGTTAGGCTGGGACACCTGGGTGGCTTAGTCAGTTGAGCATCCAACTCTGCTCAGGTCATGATCTCACGGTCATGAGATCAAGTCCCATGTCAGGCTCCACACTCAGTGGATCGCTCAGAGTGGAGCCTGATTAAGGTTCTGTCTGTCTCCCTCTGCCTGGCTCCACGTGCTTGCTCGCTCTCTAAAATAAAATTTTTTTTAAAATAAAAAAATGTAAAGGGAGGTAGGCTGAAGTCTGCCTTTGCATTATCTGTGAAAGAAGCATTTGGTAAGCAAATTAATGACATAGAGAAGCTTTTAAAGGGATGTTTCTAATGTTTCCAGTCAATTTAAAAGACTGCCTAGGTTGTTATGCTAATTTTAAACTGATTTCTGTTCACGTTTGTCAAAAAATAATTTATAATTCAAGTGTTGGAATCAGCCCCACCTTTGCCTTTTTGTGTCTTTGTCAGGGAGATTTTATTAAATTTCCCTGGTGTACTGTTGAGTTGGATAAAGGCCTGAGGTAGAGGTGATGTTTATTTCCTTTTTAGGTCTATGTGTTGAAACTTATGTGACTATTTTGGAAATTAAAAAAGGTGTTTATTTTGCTCTGAACTGATCTCAGCACTTCCAAGGTATTCTACAGCTAGGAAAAAAGAGTAGTCACTTACCGTCTGATCATATAAACCTTCACCTTCAGATTCCTAAAGTCCTATCAAAATAGTTCAGGGGGGGGTGGAGTACTTTTGTTCTTTAAGAAAATGCTTAATTTAGATAATAATGTGAACTTATTTTTACTAGAAAAGGTAAAATATCCAAGAATTGTGTGAACAGATCAGTCAAAAAAGCGGTGGAAGCTCTTTTGTGTAGGGTGTTACTGATAATAGGACCTCCTTTTTCATTATCCCTAATCCTTTGACAATCCCACAGTAACTGAAAAAATAAGGATTAGTCTGGCTTTCAGAATCTTGGAAAATGTTACTGATTTCATGCTTTATAGCTGGTTGATGGGTATCAAAGGGATGGATGTCTCATCTGACTCAAAAATGGACATTCTATTTTTTTAAGTTTATTTTGAGAGAGGTGGGGGGACAGCAGAGAGAGAGAATCCCAAGCAGCCTCCGAGCTGTCAGCACAGAGCCCAACATAGGACGCATACCCACGAACCACGAGATCATCACCTGAGCCGAAGTCAGACAGCCAACTGAGCCACCCAGGTGCCCCTCAAAACTGGACATTCTAAAGCAGACTTGCATGAGAGAGAGAAAACCCTTCTCATTTCTCATGATTTATTGGAGAAAATTTGGGTATTAGAGCAGAAAGAGAGAAAAGGAAAGGAAATTGGCCATTTTCCATCTATATATATCCCCAAGCAAAAAGAATAATGTAAAGTGTAGTCCCTGGCACATGGTAGAGGCTCATTAAATGTTAGTTCTTGGTATGTACAACGTAACCCCAATTTTAAGATATATTTATATATCTGCCTTAGAAAGAGACTGAAAGCTATAGGTCAGAGTATTGATGATTATCTCTGATGCAGGGATTTTTAGTGATTTTTATTTTTCTTTGCATTTTTATGTATTTTCCTAATTTTTCTCTAGTGAAATTGAGCAAGAAATTGTATCTGTGTTGTCATGTTTTTTCCATTCCCTCCTCCCTAAATTGACTAGAAAAGCCTAAAAAAGAATGCTGAGCATACAGGGAGAATGTGTGCCAAAATGGATTGAAGTGCTCTAGTGCAAATACAGTTTATATTTTGAAATCCAAGGAAGGGGAAGAAGGGAACATACGTGTGTAGTACCTCCAGTGTATATCAAATATTATGCCAGCCACTTCATACATGGTACCTCATTTAATCCTCAAGAATCTCATGAGGCAGATATTGTCCTCATTTTATAGAAAAGGAAACCTGCTGAGAAAAGGGAAGGAATTTGTTCAAGGTTGTACCACTGGTAGGTAGCAGGGCTGGGATTAAAACCCAGGTGTATCTGCTCCCAAACCACTCTGATCCAAGTGTTGTGAAGGATTAGGAGAAAGATTACTAAACTAGGGAATCTAACTCATGCACATAGGTGGTAAAATTTGTTTTTATCAATATTTTTTAATAAAAGACTGAAATATATAAGTTCCTACCATTAGCTGTGTCTAGGAAAAATCGTGGGGAGCATGATTAAGAATTTTAATCCTGGTCAAGACAGGGATGCCTTGATGGATAGGGAAATGGCACCAGTATTATCTGTATTCTGCAGGGCTCATGAGAAACTAAGATTCCAAGTGGTAGGGAGCCCCAAGGTTGTGAGGTCAGAGCATCCATCTTTGGAGATTACCGAAGCTATTTTTGCAGCCAGTGATAAGGCTTTAGGCAGCAAAGGCAGGCAGGATGCCTAAAGGCTTAGTCCATTTCCATCTCCAAATAAGGAGGTACAGAGCAGATACCTTCTTGAGTAGGTAAGAGGGAAAGATGAGATGGAAAGTGCTCTTTGTCAGCCTCACTCAAATTCTGCATAATATGAAATAGTGCTTTTAGAGAGAAGCATCCAGTTACATTGAACCAATGTCTTTCTAGTAATTGGAGAGTCAGCTTCCTAGTTTAATTTCCTTTAGTTCCTGGGGTAATTTTATTTTTGAGAGTCAGAAGATTAAAGGAAGTAACATAATCCTGCAGGTAGGGTGTTATGCTGGGCTGAGAGTGCTGGTTCAACTGCCAGGGTGTGTGATCTGTGGTATGTCATTTAACCTTTCAACTGTGTTTGCTTCCTTCATCTGTAAAATGGGGATAATAATTTCACAAAGATGTTATGAGAACCTTCATGAAAAGGAATGCATTTTGGATGGAAGTCCTCTGGGTAGTTAATTCTTGGAAACCCATTTTGGAAAGAATTTGCCTCATTGAATAAGGCAGAAATCATTCTTTTGTCTTTCCTGTTTTCTAGAACGACAGCAGTGAATGATCAGCATTAGGTGGCATTTTAACCTACAGAAGACCCAGTTCCATAGTGGGTCACAGCATTGTTCTACCCAGCTTGGTATTCTAACGCAGCAGGCGGTAGCCAGGGGTACTTGATGGAGAAGTATGGCTGTGGTTCTGTGTTAAAGTAGCATACACAGCATAGCCTATTTGTCTTTACTCCTTCATAGATGATTATGAATATATTTAAGGGCTTTTACATGTACAGCCTCTCTATACATGTTTACATTCTATACATTGTGCAAAGAAAGTTTCCTCAATTACATTTTTTTTTTACCATACCTTCAGAATATGAATTTTTGAGGGTAATAGAGGGAAGGTCTGCCAGTTGGGAAACATAATCAAATGGTATGTTCATTAAGCTAGTCAAATGCCTGCCTAAGAAAAAAATCACCATTTCTCTCTTCTCAGACCAACTGAACGTGAGCGAACAGAAAGATTAATTAAAACCAAATTAAGGGAGATAATGATGCAGAAGGATTTGGAGAATATCACATCCAAAGAGGTAAGAAACCTTGAACTCCTGTTCCAAGGCTAACAATGGAATAGCAGGTGTGGGGTTAGAAATAGTGAATGACTGGGGTGCCTGGGTGACTCAGTCAGTTAAGCGTCCAACTTCGGCTCAGGTCATGATCTCACAGCTCATGGGTTCAGGCCCCGCATTGGGCTCTGTGCTGACAGCTCAGAGCCTGGAACCTGCTTCCAATTCTGTGTCTCCCTCTCACTCTGCTCCTCCCCTGCTCGCACTCTGCCTCTCTCTCAAAAATAAAAAAAGAGGGGGCGCCTGGGTGGCGCAGTCGGTTAAGCGTCCGACTTCAGCCAGGTCACGATCTCACGGTCCGTGAGTTCGAGCCCCGCGTCGGGCTCTGGGCTGATGGCTCAGAGCCTGGAGCCTGTTTCCGATTCTGTGTCTCCCTCTCTCTCTGCCCCTCCCCCGTTCATGCTCTGTCTCTCTCTGTCCC